GAACTCAAGTGAAATTTGTAATCTATAAGTATGTTTGATGATCAATACTATTGTACTAGAGTTGAATGTGGAGTGTTAGAGATTTTGCATGATGAATTGATTATTGCTAAAAGGTCTAAAACATGTGGTATGTATATTTGATAAGATTCAAATGTTATTATTCACTCATCGTTAACTAGTGGGGGCTTTCATGACAAGGAAGAGCTATGGGATTTGAGTTTAAGGCGTTATGAAGGCCTTGAGAAAGTTTCAGAGGAGTACAATGAATTTTGCAGAAATCAAGGGATAACAATGCATGTCACCGCTGAGTTGTTATTGAGTTTTTGGGGAAGAGTTGAGGTTAAAACAACTTACTTGGTTGGTAGAGAATTTCTTCAGAAGAAGAATAGTGAAAACCAAGGGAGAAACCTGGGAGAAACTATAACGGAGAAAACTCAGTTTGAGGTAGAGTTTCCTATTATGGATGCTAGCAGTAGTGTGACAGCGGTTACAGAGATCTCTGATTATCATTTGACTCATAATAAGGTAAGGAGGGTTATTGTAGCATCTCGAAGGGACGATTATGCTAACCTTGGATATTATGTTTTTAATGTGGCTGAAAGACTGCAAAATAAAAGAAGAAAAACCTTCAGGGAGGCATTTGAAAATAGGTGGAGTCAAGGGTGGTTGAAAAATCATACTTGTGGGCTTGTTAAATTACCTAGGCAGAAAAGTAATTGGGAACAAGTGGATGCAAGTTGCGAGATCAAGATTCAAAGGTTACTTGAATTTGATTAAAGTTATTGATTAAAGTTTCAACTTAGTAGAGAGCAGCAATGTTGTTGATTGGTATCAACACGGTTTAAAGTCAAGGCGAAGATTGTTGTAAATGTTTCTTAAAACCTTTATTGGTGAAGAGAAAGAAAATATATTTTGGAGATTGCGTTTACCGTGGAAATCAGAAGTTTTAGAAAGTCGGACGAAAAGTCGAAAAAGAAAAAAAAATTAAAAAAAACCGGTCGGTGAATAGTGCTATCCGTACAGATGAATAGTGACGTCCGTACGGATGAATAGTGTATTTGTACGATAAATAGTATTTTCGAGTTTTTAGACTTTTTCGATTCGGTCCATGGATCCATGTGATTTTGGGCTTTGTTTATTGGGTATTTGCTATTATAAATATGTATCTCTTATATGTTTGGTGTGTGACAATCTTATAGTTTTCACCAAAAAGGGAGACCAAGAGTTTAAAGGCATAACATAGGGTTTCAACTATGCACAAAGAAACACTTGGGTAGAAAATATGGTTGTTCTTGGACGCCTTCAGTGTTATTCTTGGGAACCTGAAGGTGAATGCTATTTTCTTGTAACTTATCTGTAATCTCTTGTAAAATCTTTCTGAGTATAGTGAATTGGAGAGCTGCTCTCTCCCCTAGAGTAGATCGTTTGATCGAACTGGATAAACAAACATTCAGTTTTTTCTTTCCTTATTCAGTTATATCATCTGTGTACGAATTATTATTGTTGAAGATCATTTATTTTGGTTGCTATTATTCTTTGCCTCACAAAGTGATATTGAATTTGATCATAATTCACAATAAGATTCACAACAATAAAAAGACACCAGTATTACTAGACAAAACAACGTAGCCTACAAGATTTAATATTATTCGACTAATCACGTTGTTTGATTGTATCTCTGAAAACTTACATGTAATTCATTTATAAAAAAAAACACTAGTATTATTAGACAAAACAATGTAGCCTACAATATTTAATATTATTCGACTAATCACGTTACGTAATGTGTAATTTTTCCGCTACCGATGGCGCCTCATGTTCTACTTGATCTTCTCATTTTTATAACATTATTGATTTCTTTGATCCACTCATATACTATTTCCTCGTAACATAGCTTTGTGCCGCTCGCTGCTATTAAAGTTAGTGGCATTACAAACAAAGAATACATTTTATCTAATTTTAATGAACTTAATCAAATCTAACACTTTCAAAAACTTCAATAAACTTGAAAACAATTAACCTTAATCGCATTTAAAATATATATTTTTAAATGCAAACAGATTCCAATTACATATCTTCATTATTATTATTATTATTATTATTATTATTATTATTATTATTATTATTATTATTATTATTATTATTATTATTATTATTATTATTATTATTATTATTATTATTATTATTATAATATTTAAATGTGTTTGTATTAATCTCATCACCCTTCTACCAAAAGAACTCAAATGCAAATAGATTCCAATTACATATCTTTATTATTATTTTATTATTATTATGTTGATAATTATTAATTACCTTCCCGTCAAAATAGCTACATTCATTCAATTAATAAAGGTGGGACAGATATTTGAGTTTAAAAAAAGTTGAAAAAGTAATTCCACCCACCATTGGAAACTTTAGGCATGTTCCACCAATAGTTATAGTGATAAATGGTCTGGTTTGATAGCAAATGACTTAATAATAGAATAAAAGATATATTGAAATAAGTAGCATACATTATTATTATTTGAATATTGTCGTTTTTTCACATTACCTAAGCTAAAATATTCAAATATAACTGATAAGAGATTTACAAATTACAAATAATTATTCTTATATACACTTGTACTATAGTATAACTAGTATAAATATTTATATAATAAATAAATTGACATGTGGCATATTAAAAAGACATTGAGTGAATGTATGCGTCATGAACTTTTTAGCCACGCAAATGAATACTATAATCTTTCATTTTCAGTATATAATCTTTCTTTTGTTTTGTTGCATGCTTGTCATGAAGAAAGACTTTACAAGTATGCACTAACTTTATTACTTTAATTTCTTGGTCAGTACTCAAGCAGTATGCCACACTATCAAAGGCCCCGTTTTATCCACGTGAGATGATATTACTGTTTTGTTTTAATAATAAATGGCAAAAGGAGATGCACCATTAATGGTTAGAGACTATGTTCAATGATAGCAACATAATAAGAAAGTGAAACAAAGCAAAATTAACAGGGATTTATAAGAATATACTAAATTGGATTCTTTGCACTCACAATAGAAAATTTGAATAAGAAATATTCCGAATCTTGACCATAGCATGGAAAGCAAAAGAAACACATGATTCCACGAAGGCAGCTATTAATTATGCTGGTGTGGTGTCAGTGATTACTGATTTGCCTCACTTCGACAATCAATATATATATATATATATATATATATATATATATATATATATATATATATATATATATATATATATATATATATATATATATATATATATATATATATATATATATATATATATATATAAAAGGTCATGTTAATCGATGTTCTATAAACACAAACATTAATTAAGAATTCTAAATAATATATATATATATATATATATATATATATATATATATATATATATATATATATATATATATATATATATATATATATATATATATATATATATATATATATATATATATATATATATATATGTTAGCTTTGAGCTCATTAAATATACCTAATATTTTTTAAAATATTGTTGATTATTTCTATTTTGAATGCATTAAATATACATATTTAGAAACAATATATTTTTAATTTCTTAAATAATTCTCAAGTTACTATGTTAATCTCTTAACCAGTGTTCCGGAGGCTCTCGATAGCATTTCTCATATATAAAAATAATTGGTAAATAAAAAACAAATTACACCGCTACTTCTTTTTGAATGATAAAATCAATTCTTTTAAAAACTATATTTATTGTCCTAAGAGATACAACAATATTAACTATGTGCATAAATATGCAACTTTCTTGAATAAATCACGAAAATTAAAAATACTATTTGAGATATTAAATTTGTTGAGAATTAATATTACTTTTAGAATGGTATATTTAAAAGAAACAAAACTAGTTAATGTTTTCATTAGATATATTGACAAACAAAAAAAAGTTAAAGCAATTGAAAATAAAAATGGACACACAATATATATATATATATATATATATATATATATATATATATATATATATATATATATATATATATATATATATATATATATATATATATATATATATATATATATATATATATATATATATATATATATATATATATATATGGGGAGATAGGCGCGACAATAGATATGGCAAGGACACGTTTTACTTTTCTTGTCTTCAAATTCGACTCATTGATATATTCTCGTTTTCTATTCTAATTTCTTTTTCGAAGAGAGTGAATAATTGAACCTCAACTTTTTTTCAAACCAATTCAAGTATCTCTTCTCCATCCCATCTCCATAGAAGAATCATTTTAAAGAAAAATAAAAAGTCTATTTTTCAAACTCATAATCTTTCTTGAACCCTAAATCTAACATAAACCTGTAATCTCTATCAAATTTTAACTAACATTAACATATATTAAAAATAATAAAGTAAATTAATTTTAACTAATTTCACACATATACTTCAAATATTTCAAATGATAAAATACAAATAAAAAATCATACAACTAATATTCTAAAATTATCAAAAACAGATAATTCAAATTGTTTAAACCAAATAGTGAGAAGTGAGAGAATTCAAAATATGATTTGGAGTTTGTAATCAAATAGGAGTATTTCACTCCATGATTCAGAAATGAACATAGATGACAAAACATTAAGTGATGATTCTTATTCCCATCATGGTTTGAAGGGCCAAAAGTATACATATATTGGTTAATGATTTGGAGATTCTCAAATATTAGTAAATCTTACCATACAAGGTAAATAATACGTGTAGTGTACCCTTTTTCTTTAGATAAGTGGTTGATGATGTGCTGTTTTATTTAGGTAATAGGATCTAGCTTTTTGGTCACCTTATTTCACTTTTTAGTTATATATACACTCTTAACTCTTCTTCCCATTTTCATTGGAGCATTATGAAACTAAGTGCTTGTGATTGCCTCTCTATTCAAAGAAAGTCTTGAGTTCCAATTCTTGTAAACAAACCAATGAAAGAGACTAATACTCAAGGAGAAGTCTTCAAGAGTAACGGTAAGAGTATATAAAAATTTGTCTTGTCATAAAAATAATTTACATATACTATATACTTTATTAAAGCTTGATCCATAAGAATACCATAAGTGTAAATTGCTTTGGTAAGCACTTCCTTTATTTCTTGTATTAGTTGTATACTGTATATTTTAAAGCTAACAAAAGTAAGAATTCTGCAGGAAACACAATTTCTGTGAAAAAGTATGCACTTTCTTCTGAAGAACGGAACAAGCTTATTTCTGTGATACATAAAGCTCTAAATGATCACAACCATGTTATTGAGGATGACAAGCTACAGTTGGTTATAAACACAATCATGAAACAATATGTAGATGTCTTGAGTGTTGGTTCTGCCATAACATGTGAAAGCAATCAATGGTGGATTGGAGGCTTTCGTCCTTCTCAAATTCTTCAGGTATTGTACTAATAGAAATAGTTAGAAACATATACATCAATCTTCGAACTTGGGATTCGAAAATCAATTTATAGGTTGAAGACTATCCCCACTTGTAAACATGTGTTCAAATTTTATCTTATCAAATGTGAGACTTTTAACACACTCTCACGCTCGGGACTAACATCTGGAGCATGATTCAAGTGGCTCGATAACGTTGACCTGTTAGCAAGTGATCCAATAGATCACAAATAGACTAGCATATCATCTTAGAATTTGAATTTAGTCTAACAAAACCAGTTTGTAAAGGGAACACTGCCTCGACTCATAAACACATGTGCATACTTTACTTAATCACTTAACCTCATCTAACGTGGATTTACGACTATGAATTTGAATTATGCTTACTATATGTGCTTTAATTTGGATATATGTAGGTTATCCTGCCTCAACTTCAACATATGTACACCAAGCAACAACTATGTGACATTTATAATCTTGGACAATCATGTCAACAAGCAGAATATGCTCTTGCACAAGGCTTGGTAAAACTCAAGCAAAATCTTGATAAATCAACAACAGCAGATGGCAAAGCGTTTCAATTGACATATGTACCTAAACAACTATGCTTCTTTAAACAGGCTGATCATCTTCGCCAAGAATTCGTGCATCAATTTTGTCGTCTCCTTACAATTTCTCAGCAAGCTGAATTTGTAGTTGCTCTCGAGGAACATCTGCATAATCCGCAGCCTCGGAGCTCACTTTGAGGATTCTCAAGAGTCCAGACAAGTGAAACAAAACTATATAAATTAAATAAACTTAGTTTGCATCCAATTAATTTGGTATCGATGTGTTGCATCTAATTAGTTTGGTATATCCGTAAAACAAATTGTACTATGAAAATACTCTAGAGTGTCTTGTTTTCTTCTGTTTGTAATTCATGCCCATATGGAGGTTTAGTCTATGTTTGTTTTTATGGTAAAATTTCAAACGAACGCACATTCAACTTGAAGTAACAATTTTTGGCTTTTCAATAATCAAGGTGGGTTTGCTTTTCATCTTTTTCGACTAATAAAAGTTTGAACTGAATTTGCAAAATTCAAATTCTGAATTTAGAATAACCAAACCTTCTCTCTATTGGAAGTTGGAACTAGGCATGACAATTTAACTCGCATCCGCGTGAGCCCGTCTGAACCCGCACCCACCAATATTTGGATACAGTTAGGCAAGTCGTTGGTGGCATAAACTGGATGTAAATAAGTTGAGAGGAAATGACAGGGGAAACAAACAAGCCCCAAACAATTCAATTCTAGTATAACTATTTCAACAATAAAAATACTCATAATGCTTTAAAAAATATTGTCAACGCTTACTATAGCACTTGTACTAAGATTGAACTTCAAATTCTTATAGATAGTTCTGGTTTAATGCAATCAATATTTTCATGCTCTAAATTTTTATGGAACCTGCAAAAGGGTTATGCGCAGAAAGCAAAATAAAAAAACCACAAACAGACTGAACTGATCCCTCACAACTGAAAATGCAGTTTGTGTATGCATAGGAGTAAATAAAACTATGTCCTAGTATAACTAACTAATCATCAAAGTCTGTCAAAGGAGTGTTTTGTTACTTGTTAGCATTCTTCATAAGGGGAATTAAAGGGGAACCTTGGGATGTGTAGGATAAAAATAAAAGATGATACTGCTAAGAAAATATGAATTCTGCAAACAATCACTTCTCACTCGAACACATCTGAGAGACCAGTTTGATAACTTCCCACATAGGCGCATCATTCTGCAGGAAAAAAGTAATTTTCAAGTTACGATTAGCTACTCAATCATCTCTTACCTGGTATTTCACTTCCATTTAACATAACATTCTATGAATTAGTTTAGTTTAATATGATGTAATTCTTCAGTATTGCAGAACAATAATAATAGGAAAAATTGGAAGAAACAAGAAATCCAGGGATATGTTATCTTCCATCTAATCAACTTACCACTAAAACAACATCAAAAGCTTCTTTGTAGATGCTAAGTGAGTTCTCAACGTTGTGGTTCCTGCGACAATTCAAAATGGCAGGAAAAAAAAGCACGGATCAGGTCACATTCATAAATGTCTTATAGATATTAATTGACCTCTAATTTAAGTATTATCCCAGCAATCAACTTGAGTATAGCAAATATTTTACTTACAAAAATCCCACAGAAATTCGAGTATCGTAATTTAAACCATCGGACATTCCTAAGTCTCCAGTGTGATCACCAAGAAGAAGAACATTGGTTCTCTTCTTGAGCAAATCATTGTCATCAGTTGGACTATCAATATCACCAAAGTGTTCGTGAACAGGCGCAGCCATATCAAGAGCATGCTCATTTTTATTTAAGCTGTGAATCAATTTTCCTGTGATAAAAATTTAGAAGAAAATATCAAGAACCGGTTCTTGTCAAATACTTTATCTGAAATACCCCAATTCCATTTCAATTATCGAAAAAAACATGGGTTATGAAATGTTTCTTTTCAATTCAGCCATAAGCTTCAAAGTTCCAATTCGGGATATGTGAAGGCCAATATCAAATTACAGAACTATATGGTGCAAGATTCTTGGAGCAAAGACAATCTGCAATTTTTTAGGTTACTGTAGCTGAATACCTTGTTAACTTCTGTGAATGACGAAGGAACTAGCATAAAGCAAACAAATACGCACTAAAAACAATGTTGCAACATGGAATCACCTTTGAAAGATACAAGTTGACCATCGGCATTAAAAACCATCCTGTTCGATACTATTTTCACATTTTTGAAGGATCTGTTAAGCTTCTGTCTTAGAACCTGTTATTATTAGAAAAAGGGACATATGCACAATCAATAACAGACAAGAAAGTGAAGAATGAAAAATGTTTAGTAACCTTGCTAACATAAAACAAAATAAACTTTTCAGACCTCTTCAATGATATCAGCAAGCCCCGCAGAGAATATTAATACAGGAATGTCTTGTTCCTGAAAATAACAAAAATGGAAAATGGGATCCAATTTCAGAAGCAAAATCTTCACATCAAAACTGTCTTTGAGAGCAGGCAAGGCGGACTACCGCACATGGCTTAAAAATATTCACATTTGACTCGTGGCTAAATAGGGCCTCATTAAATATTTGTCACGGCTAAACTTTAGCAAAATAAGGCCCCTACTTGTTATGCCATAGTTAAGACAGCTCTGCTTCACATACATACATACATATTTTAAGTTTCATAAATTCGCCTGATATAAGATGAACATATCAAAATGTAAGAACTCATATTTGCTAAGGCAGGATAGAAAATGTACCTCCAAAAACTCAAAAAGCTCAGAAACACCTTCCCTAAAAGCTATATTACCATTAGCGACTGACTGTTTTATTGATTCATATGTAAGTCCTCCCTCCATAAGAAGACCGTGCGTCCTTCCCCACCTAATAATAAATCAAAATTTAACCGTCACTAAGAAATTACTGAATATCCTTATTCTACTTAGAGGCTATATCTGCAGTCGAGCATTGAGAAACTGAGTGACATACCACTCTTCCATGAGTTTCCTTTTCTCTTCAAGTTCAAGAGTAGGAGAAAATTCTAATGGATGGTAATACTCATATAACTGCTGTCTTTTGGCATTATATTCTGGATTATCCTGCTGCAAAAGGCCATGACTGCCTAGAAATGATTCTATTAGGTTTATATAATACATAGCAAATTTCCTAGTTTTCGAGATCTAAGGGTGAGAAAAAAAGGGGAAATATAATATTCAGGTAACATACTTTGGCCACGAGTTCCGTTAACCCAAAACTTTGTTAATGTGGCATCAAAATCAGCAATCACCTACATACATGAAAATACAAGTGTTAGAACAATTTCAGGCATTATCTCACTTCTCAACACATCCCAAGACTGAAGAGTAGTACAATGGAGTATATGAAATACAAAATGTGACAAATTTGTTTGCATGAAACCGAATTATGAATGAAAAGGGGTTAGAAAACCTGAAGCTTTTGAGGACCGGCGGAACGAATTGCGGCAATTTTAGTGTGGAGCAGAACAGGATCAGCCAGAGTCAATTCCGAACCCGATTTGACATCTTCCATTTCTCCGGAAGAAAATGTAGAAAACGAGACCCTTTAAAGAAAAGGACAAGATTAATCAAGAATGAGAGATGCAGTATTATAAGGGAAGAAGGAGGAGGGAGAAAAAGTAGTGTAAAAGAGAATGAACCTTGGTGTGTAATGAGAGAAGTGACGTGGGAGAAAATTGGGGGTGAGGATGGATTGGAAATGGAGACGTAAACTCATTTGAGTGTGAAAAAAAGGAGTGGTTACATTATAGTTGAATTCAATAAATGAAGTTGGTGTTACCATAAAAAATGGGAACCTGATTCGTGCGCCTCATCCTTTGCATGAATTACAGCTCATAAGTAAATGTATGGATGTTACCTATCCCGATATCAGACGTGTTAATCATTCATTAGTTCTTTGCCCGTTACACTCCTGACGTTTAATTGGGTGCTTGATTTTTTTTTTAATCAAATAATTTAGAATTTCATAGGGATGGGGAGGTACTATTCCGTTGCATAATGTCCAGGATTAAAGTTGTTTTGGTGCGGTTTTAATGCGGTGGAGTGGGAGCAAATATGTAAAGTTAGTATTTTAACGTTGAAAGTTATGACGATTAAAGAGACATAAAGAAAGTGAGAATGAACTAATAATGTCTATTGTGGTGTGCGATGGTGTTTATATGCGAGGGACGATTAAAACCACTCTAGTTTGGCCCGATGTGTGGTGTGGGAGACTGTCTGATTGAATCTGACGGTTGGTGATGGGCATACGAACCAGATTTGATGTGTGACTTTCTAGCGAGGGTCGACCTGTTCACATTCCACTTTGAGGATATTTTTGATTGAACCGCTCGAGTTAGGTCGACCGCATTAGGCCATTGGGCCCTTCTGGAGTCCTTGCTACCATTTATGAAGTTATGGTTAGGATAGAAATGTTGAGACCAGTCTCAATAGCGACCTTCCTAGTTGACTCGATTCATTTGGATCAATACCTATCTCGAAGTTAAGGTCGGAGAAGTGTTGTGTGGGAGTAGGTGGCATCAGGAACATGCACATTAAATGCTTGTCTTGTAGCCGAAATATTTCACAATAAATTCCTCCACATAGCCATAGGCCCCTGGGATAGGGAGTGGTGACACTATTATAGAACTTAAGTGTACTCAAGTGTCATTATGGCCTCAAGGTTAATCCTAACATGTTGGTTTTGCCTCCTAGTATTCTCACGATTCTTAGTTGTAGATTTTCCTTATTTGATTACCCGTAAAAAAGGGTTTATTACCATATTTTATTCTTTTGTTTCTTCCTTAAAACGTCATGTATTTCTTTCTACTGATTATTCTCTCTTGCATTTTGTTTTGGGTTGGCCTAAGGCCTAAATAGTCGAGATCCAATTCATCTCATATCCACTTCACCTGACCCAAAGTATAAAGTCAGTTCTCACAAGAAATAAGGTACACTTTTATGATCTCCACTTTTAATTATACTCATCTTGAATCTTGAATTGACTTGAGCATTAGAGTATTAACCACCCAGACCCACCCTGCGCCACGGTAATGGATATCAACAACACCGCTTCAAGATATCTAGTTTATCAATTGCATCCATTTCTATTTCCTGAACAAAAATGGTGTCGTTCGTGGGAAACGACTTCTGATTCCTAAGATTTCCATGATTTCAAATCCAAACT